TTATGGGGAGGAGAATTTAAATTTTTGATATCAAGAAGATAAAACTTTTACAAGACAATGAGTATCATTGAGCTAAAGACCTATTAATTTGTACCTGTATAACCTAGCTATGTACTCTTGCATGAATTTCCATTATTTGATTGATGATTTGACTACGATACTAAATAAAAATTGAAGTATCATACATATTATTTTTTGAATAGCTATATTATATTTTGGGTGAAATTTATTAATTTTTAGAGTGCATTTATATTTTGAGTTCATTTATTACTTTTTAGGCTTAGTTTATCAAATTTCTAGGTAATATTTACCATCTTTTGTAGTTTTTTTAAAATTATTTCCTTTGATCAAAGGTGTGATAAAGTTAATGGTTGATCTCATAGCCACCGTCCCGTTATTAGACTTTAAGAGATTTCTGGCCCTAATCATAGGCAATTAAGGAGCTTGCGTAGGGCCCCCCAAATTATTTTTAGTATAATAACTTTGCTATGTATTTTAGATATGATCTAAACTTTTATGACCCAAAGTTTAAGAGTTCAAATCAATATTTAATTTTATGAAGTTCAAAATTACAAGTGACTTAGTTAAGCCCAAGTTTTAGAGGGCTATTAAAAATTTACCCCTTTAGAAGGGTAGGCATATATATATATATATATGATCCTAATCTTAAGAGTTCACATTAATATCTAATGTTGTCAAGTCTAAAATTATTCTCTACTTGAACCCAATTTTTAGAGGGCCTCCAAAAATTTACTCTTTAGTGTAGTAGACCTAATTTTTGTGTTGTATTTTAGATATTGTCTAAATTTTTAGTATAAAATTTTAAGAATTCAAATCAATATCTAATTTTGTTGTTCCAAAATTACTCTATACTTAGTTAAGTCAAAATTTTAAAGGCCCATTAAATTGCTTGTTCAAAAATTAATTGATAATATCTTATTTATGATCAATTAAGATTGAATGAATTAATTATATTATCTACTGATAAAGATTTATTGTTAAAACTTAAACATAAGAATTTGATCAATATTTTGTATTTCAAAAAATAAAAAAAATTAAATAAAAAATTAAATATGATGGTGTGTTCTACGCAGTTGAGCAGAGGTAAACGGGTTAGAGATCTTGTCAAGGATACTGTTGATTTTATTGGGATATTCGGTTAGAACTTCTGGGTTCTTGAGATTTGAACAATCGATACAAGAGTTAAATACTTATGAACAAATATCAATAAACAGAAAAGTTATAGTGGTTCATTAATTCGAGAGTTGGGTTTGTCCACTCTAATAGAATCTCTTATTTTTATGAGAGTTTTTTATTAATTGAAGAAGACGGTTACAGTATTACACAGTGTCAATGACACAGATGTTTAATTGATTTCAATGTGAGAAATTTGATCCCTATTTATAATATATAGTTGTCTTACATAATCTTCGTAATTCTTTCGTAACCAACGCGATCCTTGCATAATAACAACGTGATCTCTTGGGATTGTTATGTCATACGTGTTAAAATATTTGATTTAACGTGATTCGACTTTTTAAAATGTTTGAGTTATACCTATTCTTATGTGTACAAGAGTCATGTCGACTTATGCGTATAAGAGTCACGTTGACGATAATTTTTGACTTGCGCCTCCAAAATTGATGATCAAAAACTGAGATGTCGAAATTTGAGCTTTTGACTAATTTTTAGTATCATTACAATATATATATATATTAATAGATAAAATATTAATAGTGTCTGTGTATAAAATGTTGGCGTAGAACCCGATTTACCTGTTTAAACCTCTTCAAGCCTCTCTAATGTCCGACAAAAGAGGATGGTCATAAGGTCAGACCTTTCAAGCTGGACACTTACCAATTACCATATAATCACGCAACAAAAATAATCNAAACAAAAGACGATGGTCATAAGGTCAGACCTTTCAAGCTGGACACTTACCAATTACCATATAATCACNGAGGATGGTCATAAGGTCAGACCTTTCAAGCTGGACACTTACCAATTACCATATAATCACGCAACAAAAATAATCAATAATCAAAATTAGAAATAATAATACCGCCGAACATAACACTTGCTCGCCACGTGCTCTTCACAAGGCTTTCCTTCGTTCTGGTTGGCCGAGAGCCCACCGCCATTAATATATAATATATTTTAGGTCAAAAGTGAGGGCAAAAGAATCTTCCCAAACAGCCAAGTAGAACCAGTCCAGTCAAATTAGGGTTAGGGCTTTGCCAATGGACCTTCTCCAACCGCGTTCTCTCTCCTATACGCCTCTCTGATTTCCTTCTTTCCTCTCTTTTCCTCCTATAAATTCAAATTCTCATATCTCACAGACACATAGCATCACACCCTTCCTCTATAACTTTTGCTCTCCATTCTACTCTACTGGTCTCCGGTAAGATAAACCCTAATTCTTACTGGTCTTCCTAACCATTCATTCATTCATTCATTCATATACTTATTCTGACACCCATTTTTTCCAAACTCCATTGATACTTCTCTGATTCCGTTTGTTTCACTAAAAAAAAACCCAATTTCATAACTCCATAAGTTTTCTCAGTCGCTACACAAAGAATCAATTATGGGTCTGAAAGGCTTCGTCGAGGGAGGTATTGCTTCAGTAGTAGCAGGCTGTTCGACCCATCCTCTGGACCTTATCAAGGTCAGAATGCAGCTTCAGGGTGAAAACCATGTTCCCAACCCGAACCCACAAGTTCTGCGTCCAGCTTTTGCTTTCAACGGCGCAACAATGGCTCAAGAAACCCTTCACATTCCTGCACCAGCACCACCTAGAGTGGGACCCATTTCGGTTGGGGTAAAGATTTTTCAATCCGAAGGTGCTTCCGCCTTGTTCTCCGGTATCTCCGCCACCGTGCTCCGCCAGACTTTGTACTCCACCACCAGAATGGGCTTGTATGAGGTTTTCAAGCAGAAGTGGTCAGACCCGGATTCGGGTAAATTACCACTCGGCCGAAAAATAGGCGCCGGATTGATCGCCGGAGGCATCGGCGCGGCTGTTGGCAACCCTGCTGACGTGGCAATGGTCCGAATGCAAGCCGATGGTCGGCTTCCAATTTCTCAGCGCCGCAACTACAAGGGAGTGGTTGATGCAATTACACAAATGTCCAAGCAGGAGGGGATCACTAGCCTGTGGCGCGNACACAATTTATAGTGGTTCGGTCAATTCGACCTACGTCCACTCTTCAATGGCTTCAGTCGCCGGGTATTTTATTGATTCAAAGGTATGGAGAATGAAGATACAAGTTTTGAGAGGAGGAATGGAGAATCAAAGAAAATAATAATCTCCGATAGTCGGTTCGTCTTCTGTAAGTCTCTGATGAGCGTGTCCTTCCTCTCCCAGATTAGAGCCATTTTATAGTAGATAAGAGATCATTCTTGTGGAGATCATGACATATCCTCAAGGCTTCTTTATCACAGCTTAGAGATTATCTTTGGTGGAGATCACGACTTATCCTCAACGGAAGGAAGAGGTTGGGGAGCTCTTCATGAAACGTGGTCAAAGATTGGACTGTTTCCTTCCTTCGATGGTGTGGATAAGCTTCCCGCGCTCTCCTCTTGGTGACGTGCTAAGCAAAAAGTCTAACCGGCCTTGGGCTGTCTTGGACTTGGTGGATTTGAACCGTTTCCTTTGGTGGTGCAGATAAGTTTCCTGTGCTCTCCTCTTGATGACGTGCTAAGCAAGAAGTCTAACCGGTCTTGGACTGTCTTGGGGTTGGTGGAATCAAAATGAGGTTGGGCTCCTCAACTGGGGTTGGACTTTAACACATAAATTGGACTATTTGGGCTTAACCCATCAATACTGAAATGAGAAAATATTTATGCTTAAAGGAGAGTGGGGGGTGAAATGGAAAAAAAATAAGGAAAAACGGATTATATATCTATGCGTTCAGCCATTCCCTCAAGCTCTGCCTTCCTCTTTAGCTGTTTAGCACATCATGAAGTCAACAATTAATGCACATGTCTGTGATTGTGTGGTAGACTAACCAGACCACCTCATCAATAGAGGTTCAGACAAGGAAGGTTCCTTTTTTATGTGCAGCTTCCAGTACTGTCCTCAACTTCCTCTGTTTCTGCAACTGCTCTTGTAGTTTTGCAACCTGCAAAAAATATTAATTTAGAGCTTTTGTTAATTGGGTTGTCAATATGTTCTTAGTGTGTCAAAAAGAGTAAAATCTTGCTCTGTTATAGGTGCCAACCTCAAAATAAGCGATTTACCAAGACTGTTGAATCAAAATATTCCCATATTCTTTACTGTCCTGATTCATGTCTTCCACCACTCTCCAGCTCTGCCCCACTCTTCTACCTCCTTTCCTGAATTACTTTCAGAATTTGTTTACATTTTCTTTACAGCTGAAACTAATCTAACTACCAAGATGTCCATTTCCAAGGTACTTCTAAAATCTTATGCATTTGCCGTATATTCTTACTAAGGGTGCAACTCTGATGGGTTTGGGCTAGTTAAGAGATCAATCCAAAACCTTTAACTCGAGTCCAACCCAACTCCAGCACAACTTGAGCAACTCTAATTCAAGTCCAACCCACGATTAAATTTTTGAATTTAAGTTTATCTCGGCTTACAGAATTTGGGTTAACCTCGAGTTTGAATTGAATTTCTTGTTAATTAAAACTCAAATTGAACTAAAAATAGGGTTTAGTTTTGGGTCCAACACCAAAATTGAACTTAGTTCTATACCTTCCATTAATCAAAACTAATTAGAAAACAGAAAAAATAAATTTTATATATGCAATAGACTTAAAACATCAATAACAAATGTCCTAACATTTTTTATATATGCATGTCTATTTATAATTTTTTTTTCAAATTTTAGGTCAAACCCAATTTTTTAAATTCGAGTTGGGTGATGGCTAAAATCATCAATTTGAATTTCCAACTTAAGTATTGTCCAAACTCAATTCGGATTGAATTTTATTGTTCAAGCACAACTTAAATATTAAAAATCACAATCCATGTACCGTTAAGGTCGGTCTGGGTTGAAATTAACCCGCATAAATTACACTACTAATTCTTACAGTTCTAAAGCAGCCATCTCATTGTTACTTAAGTACAGGCATGCCACCAACTGACTCATTTAGGGTAGAAATAATAGTAACGCGGAACATAACTACTTCTCGTTGGCCACCCTACCACCATCAATGTTTCAAGTCAAAAGTCAGGATTATTGCCAAGTAGAACCGGTCTAGTCAAATATTGAAATAAGGGTTAGGGCTTTGCCAATGGACCTTCTCCAATCGCGTTCTCTCTCCTATACACCTCTCTGATTTCCTTCTTTCCTATTTCCTCTCTTTTCCTCCTATAAATTCAAATTCTCATATCTCACAGACACATAGCATCACACCCTTCCTCTATAACTTTTGCTCTCCATTCTACTCTACTGGTCTCCGGTCAGATAAATCCTAATTCTTACTGGTCTTCCTAACCATTCATTCATTCATTCATTCATATACTTATTCTGACACCCATTTTTTCCAAACTCCATTGATACTTCTCTGATTCCGTTTGTTTCACTAAAAAAAAACCCAATTTCATAACTCCATAAGTTTTCTCAGTCGCTACACAAAGAATCAATTATGGGTCTGAAAGGCTTCGTCGAGGGAGGTATTGCTTCAGTAGTAGCAGGCTGTTCGACCCATCCTCTGGACCTTATCAAGGTCAGAATGCAGCTTCAGGGTGAAAACCATGTTCCCAACCCGAACACACAAGTTCTGCGTCCAGCTTTTGCTTTCAACGGCGCAACAATGGCTCAAGAAACCCTTCACATTCCTGCACCAGCACCACCTAGAGTGGGACCCATTTCGGTTGGGGTAAAGATTTTTCAATCCGAAGGTGCTTCTGCCTTGTTCTCCGGTGTCTCTGCCACCGTGCTCCGCCAGACATTGTACTCCACCACCAGAATGGGCTTGTATGAGGTGTTTAAGCAGAAATGGTCCGACCCGGATTCGGGTAAATTCCCAGTCTGCCGTAAAATAGCCGCCGGATTGCTCGCCGGAGGCATAGGCGCGGCTGTTGGCAACCCTGCTGACGTGGCAATGGTCCGAATTCAAGCCGATGGTCGGCTTCCAATTTCTCAGCGCCGCAACTACAAGGGAGTGGTTGATGCAATTACACAAATGTCCAAGCAGGAGGGGATCACTAGCCTGTGGCGCAGTTCATCCCTTACGGTGAACCGTGCTATGATCGTCACGGCATCACAGCTTGCATCGTACGATCAGATCAAGGAAGCGAGATTGGACCATGGTGTGACGAACGATGGTCTCGGGACCCACGTGACTGCAAGCTTTGCCGCAGGTTTTGTGGCTGCGGTGGCATCGAACCCAATTGCTGTGATCAAAACCCGAGTGATGAACATGAAGGTGGAGGCAGGGATGGCTCCCCCATATAGAGGGGCACTTGATTGTGCCCTTAAGACGGTGAGAGCTGAGGGACCCATGTCACTTTACAAGGGGTTTATTCCAACAATTTCTAGGCAGGGTCCGTTCACTGTTATTCTGTTTGTNGGCGGTGGCATCGAACTTAATTGATGTGATCAAAACCCGAGTGATGAACCTTCACTTGATTGTGCCCTTAAGACGGTGAGAGCTGAGGGACCCATGTCACTTTACAAGGGGTTTATTCCAACAATTTCTAGGCAGGGTCCGTTCACTGTTATTCTGTTTGTGACCCTCGAACAAGTTAGGAAGATTTTGAAGGAATTTGAAGTAAGTGAGGGTTTGAAATGATAATGACGACAAGGAATTAGTATAGAGATTATGTTTGTTTATTGGATTATTGATGTTGAGGACTTTTTGCTAAGGTATTGTTGTGCCATGACAAATTAAGCTGATATAAGATGAGAAATATTTCAAATTTAAAAAATATCATGCAAATATGTGTGAATTATCTTTGATTTTTAGCAACAATGCAATGTTGCACCTCAATCCCACATGTATAAAAGACATAAACCTGGTATTTATACTACAAAGTGATGATTTTAACTACCAAACCAATACATTTTGAGTGTTGTCAGCACACTCCGTAGACAAATAATTTGAGTAGTCAAATTGTTATTGTATCACGACATCCTTGTCACCATTTGCAGGTTGGTTAAAAGGAATCATAAAGATTGTTTTCTCCTTGATGGGTGTGTTCAAACAAATGGTAAAGTTTCTCCGCAAAGAAGACTTCGGCAAAAATCCTTTTAGCCAGGTTTTTATTGGCTCTCTCTTAAAAATGATTGTACCTGGTAACTATTCAATCCTCTGCCTTGTACCTTCTGATCCTTTACCTCTTTCAAGGTTTCGGACAGATTGATCTGAACTTCAATCGTCTGCCCGGTTCAAATGATTGACCTTCTGATCCTTTATCTCTTTCAAGGTTTTGGACAAATGGTATCAGGCGGAATTACCACTAGGTGGAACCCAACAAATGGTACCAGAAATTGGTGTCAGAGCATGTCAAACCGCTGTGCAAAACTCAATAATTGGTACCAGAGCCGATGGTTGTTGATCCCGGGAGAACTCTCCAACCTATGATATGACTAGCTGACAATGAAGGCTCTTAAGAGCAATAATAGACTCTTGGTATGGAAGTTACGGAAACGCAATTCTAGATGCAGAGAAGGGCGCAAGATGATAGGTGCAAAAAAGGCTCTCAATGGAGTGGTAATGTGGTANAGTTACGGAAACGCAATTCTAGATGCAGAGAAGGGGGCAAGATGCTAGGTGCAAAAAAGGCTCTCAATGGAGTGGTAATGTGGTGACTCATGAACAGCGGAGAAAGCTTGCTTCTTGAAAGAGCGGACACAGAGCTTGTGGAGAGTGGTTCAACAGGAGGAGGTTGGAATTAAGAATAAATACATCCATTCTAAATTACTGGTACTCAGTACAATGGTAGAAAAGGATCCTCGGCATGGTTCGAGGTGGAGCCTTGTGAAAACACTATTAAACAAATATTGGTGCGACACGGTCTGTTCAAAGCAATTCTCGGATAACTGAGAATTTGACAACACCAATGACTACCCAGAAGTAAAAAGATTTTTTTTTTACGTTGTTGAAGATTGATGGGCATCCCAGGATACTGGACTGAACATCCCATACTAAGTTAATGGGGCATCTGGATCAAGATGCTTACCTGATGTTTCAAGTGGAGTTTAT